TAAGGAATATGTAATACTTACCGTTCTTAATTGACAAAAAGAAATCACGTAAGGATAATTTTAATATTATATAAGAATTGAAAATTATAAATACAACATGAAATAAAACATTAAATATTGTCTGCTGATTGTTAGTCTCTCATAATTAAACTCTAACTGTTATAAATAAAAAATATCTAATGTAAGATTACATTGAATTCCACCTTATTCACAAAAACATTCCTTCTGATATCCACGTGACTACAAAAAGATTGTTCTCTTAAATGAAATTCTATAATTCTTATAAGTCAGACAGAACAAATAAAAAATGTAATACATTTATGAATACAATGCTTGATGTGTGTATGCTTATAATATCAAGGCTTATAATTAATATATCATTACTAAATGAAAAATTCAATAATTTCTTGAACGATTCAATGGAAGAAGAATTTGATCTGATTGAATTAAATCTTTCCACTTATGAAGCAAAATATTTAAAATTATTAATTATAAGATTCAGTTATTTTCATAAAAATCTCGATTTATAGCGAATTAAAGTATGAATTAGACAATTAAATATTCGATTTCAAGTAGAGATTTGAGTTTGTAGATATTTGAGTGATTGGTTGTTCTAATTCTCGGAAAATATTTGTGTATCTACGGAGATAATTTTCTTTTTGTTTAAAAAATTACTTTTGTAAGAGATGAAATTATAATTCATGATTTATATTTCATTATCATCATAAACAGATTTTACGTATTTTATTTAATTTTCCGACTTAGTCCTAAGCTACTGAAACTCTTCTTATTCATACGATTGCCACTATCGTCGTTATATTTCTTTTGTGCAAAATGTTTACATTTTGTTTTAATGAAATTTTATATGTATGATCTACGAGTAATATATTTAAAAGTATATTTCTAAGGCTTATTCAGTCCAATTTTTTCCAAAAAAAAAAAAAAAAAATACAATTTTTTAAATACAATAATATAATATAAAGTTTTTTTAATCATATTAAAATATTTGTTAACAACTAGTTTTTTCATTACAAATATTGCAACATGAAGGAACTATACATGTTATGATATAATAAACAGTATAATATTATATTTATTGTGTCAAAATAATTGAAGCATTAAATGATTTCAATAATTATATACAAGGAAAAAGTAGAGATTAATTATCAAAACACTGTAGTTATTTATTTTAAAGCAAAATTTTATTGAGAGATTATCTTTGATGGATTTATGTATTGAAGTTATTTAAATTTACAATGTCAAATAAATATCCATTTATTTATCTTTAATTATCCGTTTATTTAAATATGAATTAAGAAATAATTAACTGAAAACTAATTTTGCTAGAAAAAGTAAAGTATAATATTAACATTTAATTTATATGTAAATATTAAAGTAAAATTTATAACATTTATTGGTAATATTAATATTAAAATTTTTTATTAAATTAATCATATTTAATTTATTGTTCAATTATTAGTGATTCAACATTAAATGCCCAATCAAATTAAAACTCATTGATTTATTAAATTGTGATTTGAATCTTTAACCTACAAAATTTTAGTTTATTAATATTTATTAAATAATTACTTTAACAATACTACTTTTTCGAGCAATTAGAACTTTTTACTTCTATGAAGTTTGATTAATCTTAATTTCTAGATAATTCCAAATTTGTATGAATATAAACTAATGTCAATTTAAATGCTTTAAGTTATATATAATTTAAACCAAGATTTATAACTTAATTAGTATTGAATATATATTAAATATTTTAGTTTTTAATATTTTATTGTATTATGGAAGTTGATGAGGAATAATTAGTAATATATATATATATATATATATATATATATATATATATATATATATACACATTATAAATAATTTTTCAATAATTTAATATTAAACAGAATGTTAATTAAATCAATATTTATAATATTTATGTATACTACATAAAAAATTTATGTGACAGTTACATAAATTCATTAGGTAACTTTTTACTAGTGATAATATGGTAGATTTGAAAAAATAATAAATTTACATAAAATATTATTGTTTTAATAAAAAAATGTAATGATATAAAAATCTTAATAATTTTAATTAATATTTGGTAGAAATAATACAAAGACGGACAGATATGTAATTATCATTACATTGTATGGTAAAAAAATTATATTGTCGTGCCAATATATACATAGAACTCAATTTTAAACCGCGTTGAAAATATTTTTATGAGATTGTACTTATTAAAATTGTCAAATTACAGATAAATATAAGAGTAATTTAAAGCGTTTATTACAAGCCAATAACAAAATATTCTTTCAAATTATAAAAATAATTTTTTCACTTCAATTTTTATTAAATAGTCCGACTAATAATAAATATTGTTCAATTATATGGCATTGTTTCTATAAAATTTAGTAGATGTTTGATACTGTAATTACTATTTTGAGATACAACTTTACGTGGATACATTGTTATTAAATAAAATAAATATTGATTATAATATTGATTAATGTATAAATTCAAAAATTTATAAAATGTTAATATTCGATAAATGGAATAGACGTTTTATTTTATATATATTATTTTGAAGAACTTTTTATTAATAAATATTTATTTTTTATATCGAATATTTAAATATTATACTGTATATTAGGTAAAAATATGACATACAATTTATACATTTATTATTATTATTTTTTTAATATTACACTAATTTGATTCAATAATTTAAAATTATTTTCTAAAATATTAATAATTTTTTTATACATAGTTGTTACGGATAGCTATTTTTGATAGATTTCACTTTCTGCTAACGATGTTGACTATAAATTATTTAATTTAATTATTTTTATTTATATATATTTTATTTTTGATCCTTTCAAGCCATATTAATAAGATAGGAAAGTGTTTAAGGATTAATATTGACTTCATAAATTAGAGAATATAATAAATATTCAAAATTGTAATATTTTTAATAACAATGTATTCAGTATAAACGCATGTGGTTATTATGACATTATTATCTACATATATTTGGAAGAACTTTAGTGAAACATTAAGAAAAATTGTTTTTATCTTCGTTTAAATCATCTACGTTTAAATGACTTTCAATATAGTTAAAAATAGACAACAATATAGTTAAAAAAAAAAATATTTTATTTATTGTTAAATTAATCAAAAAACACACGAAATTATTTCATTATCAAAGTGATTTTATTCTTAGATTTTACATTCATCTAATTCGTTAGTTGCAGATTTAACTATTAACATTAACGAAATTATTATTCTATATAATATTGATAAATTAAAAAACTTATTTAATAATCATTTGTTTTGTTTAACGATGTTTTTATAATTGAGATTATCAAGATAATTATATAAATAAAAATTATCAGATACATAAAATTTTACGAATAAAACTTTACAATATTTCTTTTTCTAATCTGTATTTGCATTTGATTTGATTTTCATTGATGCTTATAATGTTATTGATATATTAAAAAAAAAATTATGTAATTACAAGAAGGACTATAATTTACAATTATTATTACTATTGACAAAATTATATTTATTCAATAGTTAATTTTTTTTTAACCTTATTACTCAAGTATTTATTGTAAAGTGAAATTTCATATTATAATACTTATTAATACCAATATTTATTGAAAAAATTATTAATATATAAAAATTATTTATTTTACATATATCAATATCAGTAATAGAATTGTTTCTTATTACTGTATGTTATATTTATTGTTTTTATATTTCTTGTCCAATGTTAATATATATGAAATGTGACAAACATATCTTTCAATTATTTTCAGTTTTATTCGAATAATTATCAAATACACCTTAAACAACAAAAAATTATTCTTATAATTAATACACGTTTTTCTGAAATAATTCATTCAATATATTTAGATTATTTAAGCAGTGAAGAGGTATTACTTTTAAAACATTAAAATTTTAATTTCAAAATATTAAGATATACTTTCTACGCGTGGCATAATTTAGATTTTATTGAATTGAACTTTTTTTTAGATAAAATACAAAAAATAATGTAGTAACTGATTTTATGCTTATCAACGATCATATATATTTCTTGATTCTAAGATTATATTTTATTTAACATATAAATTATTTATAAACTGATGAAGCAATTTAAATATTATTTTTTGTAAGTCTTTTCTTTTTCTTTTACATTTTTAGGAAGTACCTACATTATATGCAGTAGTTATTGTTATTAAATATTCCGAAATCTTTGGCATCATAGGATCAATATTTTAATTACAAATGAAGCTCACATTAATCGCTAGATTAATTATTTAAATATGTAAAATAATTTTATTTTTGCAGTGAATTAATTTTATTATTAATGATCATAATCTTAGATAAATTAGTTCAATTTGTTCTTAATTAAAAAGTAAACTAATTAAGTAAAAAATAAATTAAGTAACTACTATTCCTATATACCTATAAATATTCAAATTTATCTGTAGGCCTTTCAACATTTATCTAGTATTTTTTATTAAATGCCTATTATATTAAAAATATTTTAATAAAAATATAATTTCCTGCTTACTTATTACTTTTTATTATGTAGATTAATAGCGTAGATTAATATGCAATTTTATAAGAATGTAACAGAAATAATTTTATTATAATAATAAAATAAAAAAATTACATCGCACATAAAAATTGCATGCAACACATAAAAATTATCTGAAATTTTAGAGCAGAAATCTCCATTACCAACATTTGAAATGCGTAATTATACATTTAGTTGATTTTCTTGTCGTTTACCAACATTAGGCGCTATATTCGTAATGTTTATAAATTTTAGTACAAATAAAAGCGTGTAGAAAATTCCAAGAATCAAATATGCATTAAGAAATGGAACGTTTAATTAATTTACAAAAATTGTTCTTAAATAAATAATATATAAATAATGTAATTCAAATAAGTTTTGAATTCGTTATGAATGAATTTCAATTAAGTTAACGAAAATGAATAGCGTTAAATTGGAAGTACAGTGGTCTCCAGTACATTCAAATAAATTTATCACTTGGGGAACTGAAATATGTCTTTATGAAATTGCTGAAATTAAGGATATTGTTAGATCTTCTTGTGAGTTTATCTACAATCTAGCATTGATATTTAATATTTTGGCTGTACGTTAACAATACCGTCTATTATTTAGGTACCAAGGTGTCGGATACAACTGTTACGCATCTTCTGGCAACAAATACGAGTCATCATTATGTCAAATGTATTGACATTTATCCTCTTTCAGACCCCGATATATTATTAGCTGTCGGACAAGCGAATGGCAAAGTAGTATTAACTACATTCGGTCCAACTGCTTTTGATTCTTTAGGCTTAACTGGAAAGGAACTTGGTATATCATTTTACAGTAGACAATAGAAGAACATTTAATTTAATTATATCGCTAATAATTTTATGTACATTTTAGTTCCTAAACATGCTCGGCAATGTAATGCTGTTGCTTGGAATCCAGTCGATTTTAACTTATTAGTTTGTGGCTTAGATAAATATCGTACAGACCAATCCTTATTATTATGGGATATCTTAAAAAGTCCACTAAATACAGATCGAGTACATCATTATAATGCTAGTCAAACAGAATCAATAAAACCACTAGCCGAAGCTGGTGTTTCTGAAACAATACATTCATTAGCTTGGTTTAATAACGAGCCAAAGTGTTTAATTGCTGGAGTTAATAATAAACAATTGAAAATTATTGACTTTAGAGGTAAAAATCCTTTAATAAGTTTTTACTTTACAATAAATTTTTAACATATTTTCAACGTATTGCTTAGACCCAGTAAAGATAATAAATTCAACGCCTACAAAGGCTGTATACAGCGTAGCAGTAAATCCTCATAACAATTATCATCTTGTCTCACACGTTGATAATCAGATTACTATTTGGGATACGCGTTATTTTGAGAAACCAGTCCTTACACTGTCTCAAACGCGTCAAGTTACTAAAGTCTTGTGGTGTCCTACTCGACATAATCTATTGGGCTCATTACAAAAAGATTCTGGTATTTCATTGTCATAAAGATATATTACAACTTAAACATTTTTTTTCATATTGTACTTAATGTTCTTTAGGATCCTTATATCTTCATGACATTCAGCATCATGGTATTGGTGGAGAAGATACAGAGCCAGGAGCACTGGAGAGAACAATTGCACCTCCGTGGTCTAATCCTACAAGTTTCTCATGGCATCCTACTCATGTAAATAGATTGTTAGCTATCTCTCAGCAAGGTAAGTAAATAGTAACATATTATATGATTGTTTATTAATAAAATTTACGTTGCTCCTTATTTACTTATTTATTTTATGACGCTATAATTATGGAAATATGGATAATTTGAATGTAAAACTATTGTAAAAATAATTTTTAATGTAACTTTCAAATTCTTTAATGTACCAAAATATGATTAAGTTATTTGGTTGTCTTAGGTTTAACCGATTATACTGTGTATGAAAGAATAACTTTAAATTGGTCGACTAGGTCTCATCTTGTGTGGAATCATGCTTCCAAGTCTTTTAAGTATATTTGTAATAACGATAGTATTTATAAAGCTTTAAACGATATTTCAATATCGACGAAAAGTCGAGCTTTAGCAGAATATGGTTTACTGGTAATTATAAATAACGTTTTTCAGCATTTAAAGTATGCCTTAAATTTGTTTTTAATTTATGTCGCAGCCAGAATTATCTCAAAATGGTGAACTCGCTGAAGATGAAACATTGAAAAATTTATGGCAATGGTTATATCTCAGTCGTTCTTTGGTAGAAGATGGAACAATACCTAGCCCAGACAATAAACATCCTGGTGTCAGGTATATTGTAATTTATTATATCGAGGTATCAGTAGAGTAATTAAATTTTCGAAACATTATTTGCTTAGAACGGTTTTGAAGATTGATGGACAAAATTCAAACGGTAGTTTCACAAAGTCCGATGTTGTACATCGACCTTGGACAGATATTGGTTCAAACCATACAGCTAAAACATACAGGTAGCTAATGATATTAATTTAAATGGCAATTAAAAATTCTATTTAAAAATATTGCTTTTATCTTTTGCATTATTATGAAATTAATTAGATCCCCAGATCGTGACAAGGCATTGCAATTGTGTGGCTGGCGATTTGAGAAAGATACAAATGCACCGTATAATAATTTGTTTTTAGAAAGATTAGAGAGAGAAGGGGCATATCCGAGAGCAACAGCAATATCTGTCTTTAATTTATGCTTACGACAAGCAATAGAAATTTTAAACAGGGGTGCCAGTAAAATGTCTTTATTAACAAATTTGAATATCGTGGCAATGGCATTATCTGGATTTTCAGAAGATAAAAATAGTATGTGGCGAGAGTTATGTTTGAAATCAAGATCTCAGCTATCAGACCCTTATCTACGAGCTACTTTTGCCTTCCTAACAGCCGACAATGACTCTTATGAAAATGTATTGGTAAGTTGTAAAAATTTTAAATATATTATTAATTTACAAATAATAAGTTCTGAAACGAAGTATTAATTTATAGAATGAAAATGGCATGGCCGTAGAGGATCGAGTAGCATTTGCATTAATGTTTTTATCCGATAGTAAATTATACGAATATTTAAAAAAATTAACTCAGAAATTATGTGACGAAGGAAATCTTGCGGGATTCTTACTTACTGGTAAAATAAACGAACTGTCAATATATAACATTAATATCATAATGAAAGTATATTTTTTAAATAACATTTAAAATGTGCAGGAGCAAGCTTAGAAGGTATTCAGTTACTTAATAGACATTTAGAAATTACTGGCGACGTACAAAGTTGTAGTCTAATCGCAATAAGAGCTTTATCACCAAAATTGCTGCAAGAAAGTCAAGTGCAAATTTGGATTGAAAGGTAAATCTCTATGACAATAATTGACAAGAAATTCTACATATTTTAAAATTTAGTTATAGAGGACTGTTGGATGCTTGGAAAATGTGGACTCAAAGGGCTCATTTTGATATAGCCATGAGAGCATCGGCGAATGAAAAACCACCGCAACAAATGTACATTTCATGTAATTTTTGTGGAAAAAGTATATCGACCCTTATTCAGGGATTAAGTCGAGCGAGAGGACCATTTGGAAGATTAGTAAGCACATCAAATAAATTGAAGGTAAGAATGAAATTGTAGTAAATAATTAAAAATGAAAATATTAGAAATATTAAAATTTTGCCGTTATAAGATGTCGGCTTGTCCAAGTTGTCGAAAACCCTTACCAAGATGTGCTATATGTCTGATGCATATGGGAACTGTAAGTGGCTTACCAGTAACATCTGGGACTCCAAGTAGAAACGAAGAAGATTATAAATTAACAGAATTTAGTAATTGGTTTACGTGGTGTCAAACCTGCAGGCACGGTGGCCATGCCAATCACATAACACACTGGTTTCTATATATATATATAATATAAGTATACTAAATATAAGTATACTAAATATTAGGCATTACTTTTATCTTTTTATATTTATGTTATATCGATGCAATTTTTATTAAAATTTTATCTAAAATTTTTACAGACAACATTCCGAATGTCCAGTGACCTCTTGTACATGCCGATGCTTCTCTTTAGATGCATCTTGTAAAATAGGTGTAGGAGTTGTATAAAATATATTTTAATCAATTGTAACTGTTTTGAGAAATAAGTCTTATTATTATAAACCTTTTTTTTAATTTTTTATTTTAATTAAAATACTTCTTATAAATGTATATTAAATTACTTAACTAAATCTTAAATATTTAAAAAAATAGCTTAATATTTAATATGGACTTTCATCTGAATTAATTTTCCACTTTTTATCACCAATTACATGCAAAATTGAGAGGAATGCATTGTATGTAGCAGATTCTGAAAAAAAAATAAAAAAAAAAAAAACACATAAAAATATTTATATTATAAAAATAATAGTTAATAATGTATAATATATTATTACCAAAATTCTCTGTCATTTCTGGCTGAAATATTATGTATTTTTTACACGAAACAGTTGATTTTGATAGCGCAGTTCCATAAACTTCGATTAAACCTTCGGCAATCCCATCAATTGGCTCTGGCAAACTTACGTTAACTGTGACATTATCGGTTGTTAACAATTCTATGCCCTTTCCGCTTGAACTAACCTATTTGAGATGTTAAATATATTAATAAACTATTTAATCATTGAAAAGGTACTAACGATATAAATTGACTTGAAAAATTTTAATAGTTGTTTTTATTTTCAATACTTCCACTATCTATAGATAAAAATAACTCGAAATTTTTTAACATTCGATAGATTTCCTTAAATTTATAGTAAGCAGACATATATACATTTTTCTCATATGTTCAAATAAATAATTTCATTTTAAACAAAATCGAAAACCTCACGAAAATAAGAATTATAGGTTATAAACTATAAATATAAAATCAATCACCTTTTTGATCTCACCAATTAAAATAATTTCATTATTCAAATTTTGACCTAAATGCTGCCCTCCAATGCGTTTCGCAACAGTTATTTTACTAACCATTGTTCTTTAAATATTAATATTAGATTAATACGATACGATTTCAAAGTCCCAACAAAATAAGCAAGTACTAAGCGCGCCAAAATATTTTATAATAAATCACATCCGTCACAAGTTAAGGTCGGCACACTCTACAATTGGAGTGAGACGAAGGTAAGCATTGCTTGTTTATAAAAATATTTTAACAAATTTATTAATAAAAATTATCAAAATAGATAGATGAAAGGATTTAAAGATTAATAGATAATGGTTATAATAAGATGATGAGATTCATAAAAATGTGGGGTAAAAGGTTAAGTATTGTTTATTAAAATTCAGTTACGATTATTTGCAAAAAAAACAAAAAACAACAACAAAATATCGAAGTTAACTGGTTATGAAGACGGTTTTTTTTTTGTTTTTTTTTTTTTATTATCATTTTGGCCGATCAAATTCAACGTAAGGTGAAAAAAAAAAAAAACAAAACAAAATAATAATAAGCTTCAATAGCTGGACAAATAATAATCTTGTGTTTTCTAATATTATCAAATGTTTCATAATTAAACAAAAAATATTATTCATTGCAATTTTTATTAGAATGTATTACAGTATTATTACACAGCTACAATTATCTTTCATTTATGAATCAATAATAGCAAATTTTAAATTTTAAATAAATTTTGTTTTAATAATCTCTATATGAAAAATATTGACTATAAAGTAGTAAATTTAAATATAATTTTTATGAAATACGTTGAATTTGTATACAATAATTCGTAATGAAGTAAAATAACGTATTTTTAACGGTAATATTATATAGAAAAAATATACCGCTATTAACCAACTATTTGTTGTGGGATTTCATAACGATGCAATAATTAATTAAAGATGTTTCTTAGAAAATATCTATCGTAAAATATATGTATAAACTGATTTAATTAAATATACTCGATTTATTGATAAAAATAAATATACGTATTTGTGTTATGCGTGATGACTGGCATCAATAAACAAACAATATATCCGCATGTATGGCTTACTTATTGCCTCGATCATGATTGCAACACATCCAAGTATGTTTAAAGTTAACAATATTACTTATATTGTGCTACGGAAATTTTTTTTATTTGATTTATTTTGATTCTCACTACTTACTTCATCATATTTGACAAGACAAAAAAAGGGGGTTGTATTAATTCAGCAATAATAGTTTAAAAATGATTAATTATTATCATTTAACTAGGAATTCAAATACTCAGCAGCTCTCACAAATGCAAGAACATTGATTTAACAATAAATGTAATGAGAATAACATTACATATTCTATATATTTTTTAACGGATAAAGTAATTGTTTATACAGATTACTTATTAAATTTTATGTTTCATTTATAAATTTCAAATTATTGCAACAGAAAATATTTATATAAATAGGCTATTTTATTAACTATATAAAAATAAAAGTAAATTAATCATTGCATGTTGAAGGGTAATTTTTGTAATTTAAATATTATCCTCTTTTAAAATAATAACGTTTTAATATATAACGAAAATTGAAAGATGCCCTTTATAATAGTATAATATACGATACTGCAAATAATAATTCGAGATATAAAATAATCATTGTATTATCAATTGGTCTGTGAATTAAGTTTAAGGCCATAATAAACTCCAATTTAAAATAACTTACTAGTCAATTTTAATGACATCCAGTTAAATATTTATGGTTCAAATTTACTTAACAAATTTTATTTAAAAATGAGTGATTTGATACTAAGTTGTATTTTTAAATTATTATAAATTTATTATTGTCAAAATCTTATAGATAAATGTATTGCATTGTTTGAAAAATTTTTTATAGTATTATTTAATCAAGTTATGCTTAAGATATTTTACAATTAATGGTTATAGGCAGACATTTATTTCTATTTCTTATTTATCTATTATTTAAGAATTTTAACTTCTTCGCAGGTATGATTAACGCTTAAATTATTTTTACACCGTTATAAAAAAATTTTTTACTCTGAAATAACTATCAATTCCTTTAAAACTTTATAATTAAATTGCTATCAACTTAAATGCATTTTTTTGCAATATTTAATTTTTAAAAATGAATTCTATAAAAATATTTTTGCGAGTAAAGAGTATTATTATAATGAATATAACAAATATGCTTTTTACACTACATAAATTTCATAATTCCATTAATATTTTCTGATTATGTATTATTGATTTTCAATTTGATAAATATACATTTGATATTAATTACATGCTTATGTTATATATTTTAATGTGACTAGTGTTGTAAACTATTTTGATAATAAAATATAAAGTATAAGTAGAATTTATTTTTGAAGATTTTTGTAGCTGCAATTTAATTTTCTACATTCTTTGGCTGCGTATCATTGATAAAAATAATGTCACATTCAGAAGTCAATAATTTATTATCATTTTTCATTATATAAGATGTATATTTATATATTTTTTAGCGTTGCATTTAAATAGTTACTTTAATTATCGTATATAGTCCGATAATTTTTCCGACTAATTCTATTTTCAACATGGAATTTATATTTAATTCCAATAGTTAATATAAGATTATTACACCGATGCATAAAATTATTAAGAATTGAACAAACCTATACGTTCAATTTCTCAAGTTTACAGATGATCTAATTTATGTTATTTGGTTTCTTCTATAGGCTGATTTTGCGATATCGATTTATCGTTTAACATTTACCATGAACTCGATAATATTAATTATTAAGTTTAATCATCTATCGTCAATTTAAGTAATCACATTTTAATTTATTTAAACAGTACAGGAGGGGCGGAGAATCACAGACTTCCAAAAGTTTGATAAGAAAATATTTTTTTATTCATTACATTTTCTGTCTTATTTGCTAAATTATCTATTACATTTTTTTAATTAGATATACGGTTTGATAAGTTCATCGATCAAAAAAGTTCTATTAGGCAAACTATAACAATGTACATGACAATAATATCATTGTAATTTATATGCGCAATTTATTTTTCTTAATCATGCTCTATAAATATGAAATTAATCTTAAATGACTTAATAAAGAGACTATGTTTCGTGAAAAGTGTTTAAAACGTGATTTTTCACAATTTTTTTAGTTGTAAAAAATTTATTGTTTATAAGTAAATTATTCACAAAATTATTATACTTTCTTGACTATATATTTAAATAAATAAATATATATATACATATATATATATATATATATATATATATATATATATATATATATATAATATTAAATTACATAATGTAAAAAGAATGTAGTTATGTATAAATAATTTATTGAATATTTTAAATAATTAATATATAACTCTAGTATTTTGAAATGTATGAACAAATTTTCATTACATTTTTAATAAAAGTATTTTTATAAAAAATATATTGTTTCTAAATTTCATAATCCAGTTGGCATTGTTAAATCAATTATAAAAAAAAAAAAATATTCTTTGATTTATTTAACTGAAACTGTATAAATATTTCATTATTATATTCTTCAATTATATTAAAAATAGAAATTTTATAAGTTATCGAACCTATGTCATGGAACAATACATATATTCTTACAAGTAAAATTAGTATTTATTACACTATATTTTCATATGTTGCATATTATTGAATTTAAGAATACAAAGACAGAAGGGCGATTAAAAATAAATATAATTACTTTCAATGTTATTTTTTATATATATGTAATAGAATTCAGTGCTTCAATTTAAAAATAAGTAAACGCTAACAATTAATTTAATGTTATGTATGTCAAGGTAATAAAAATTATAAAAGTTACAAACTGCAATTACAAAATATTTATTATGTAATTCAATGGAAATATATTATTTGATACTCTTGAATTGCAATACACTTTGATTTAAATTTTTGTAATAAATTATACTTTTCTTGTATTATTTGCTTTGTATAATTAGTTAATATAATATAACATTGCCTCCTTAACATTCCTCAAATTTATTATCAATATAACGATAAAAATTGTTATTGTCCATTAATAAAAACGTAACTGATAAATTCAAAATGAGAATTTTCGTTTCACTTAATTTTTGATTTTTCTTTGTTATCGATTGGAGTCGAAGGGTAGATGGCAAACAAAGACAACTGTATCAAAGACAAAGTAAAACTAACGCCATTCTGAAACTATAAATACAAATTTCTAAAATTGAATTTAAATCATTTTTATATGTATACATATATAACAAATAATAATAATAATAATAATAATAATAATAAATAAATAACTTACCATAACAAAATTGTCATTTAATATAAAACCATAAATAAGCCATTGGAAGGAAACCAGTGTCCCCATAAAAATAAGTGGGAATGGAAGAATTTCTGTACTTTTCGTTTGAATGATTGTGCCCTTTAAAAACACATATATTTATTAAGTGCCAATTTTTCAAAATAAAAGAACATGTTCGTATGTACGTAAATGCCTTACTAAATGCATTAGCGGGGATCCAACTAAAATTAAGAATAAAGCAGTGATTAGAACTCCATATCGAAATTCAATGTGCTCTTTACTCTCTATTTGAGCATATCCTAAAACGAGAGAAACGAAAGCAGTTGCTTTAGCTAATGCCGATAGTGTATTCATCTAGAAATATAATAAAATAAGCCCATTGTATAAGTGAAAATTCATATGATTAGATTGCAGAATTTAATAGAGTTGTTTGATATATAAAATGACATAAATCAAGTGATACCTTTTCAGGTGAATATAAATAGTATATGGCCATATATACAGCATTTGTAAGTATACCGAATAGATTGATATTTATCATAATAGGATCTTTAACAATTAACGCATATTGCAGCATCATGATACACCTATAAATGAAAGAGTAAGTGTTTTTCAATTGTGTAAAAAATAAACTCCTAACATCTGTTAATATGAAGAATTTTTATAATTAAATTGACGATTAGATTATATTGGCACGATAAAATACAATAATAAATTAATAAACATATTGACAAAACTAACATTCCAATACCACCGATGAATGGCATTGCATCAAATCCCTTGGATGTTCCTTTTTTATAAATGTCCTTGCAGATCAACCTATGCGAAATTGGTTATAAAATATACAATTTACTGGAATATAATTAAGCAAGCAATATTATTAACTTAAAAATATCATATTATAATTATGATTATAATTTAGATGAATTAAGTAATTTGTAATTAATTTAATCTATACGCACGTTCCAGAAAGCATGTGACCCATCGTCGAAACCATAGCGCAAGTGGCTACAACTTCTTTGTATTCTTCTAAACCCATAGCTCTGTCAAATGTCTAATGTCTAAATGAAAATTAGTAAAATAAATATTTAAGGGGCCAGAAAATTTTAATATAACTGCAACAAGGTCTTTCGTTATAACCGAACGGTTAAGCATATATTTTACGTTTAAACAGCGAAATTTTGTGCGATATTTAGGATATTTTTAAACAATGATAATGAATATGATAGAGACAGGGATAACTATATCCTATCATTCTGTCAATACATTTTAACGATCAGTCTATCGTTTGAAATTCAAGAGCCAAATTACTTTAGTATAATTGCATTGAGAAGATATATTACTATGAAAATGTAATTACTTAATACGCATTTAGTTATTCTAAAATGTTTAAAAACCAATGTGTTGACATGAATTAAGTAATCGAAAAAAAATGTAATCGTATTAATTATTTTTAGATTTCATAAAATATTTATCAAAGCTTGCGCTTTTAGATTTCGCATTCCATTTTATAACAATTCTTTGTAAACAGAAATTATATTATCGAAGAAATGTGATAAAGCCTACAGGTTATTTTAGAGTTGAATAAGCGATTTTTTCACTCCGCATATTTTCTGTTTAGTCAAAGGTAAGGCTATGTTGTAAATTTTGATAATAATATTCCTCTAAATAAGATATAAATAAAAAACTTTGAAATATTATTTAAAACATTATTAAATTTAAGAGACAATTTTAGAACGAAGCATTTTTATATACCGTATACCGAAAATACTAAATTTAAAAACAAATGAGCATATATGTAATTGAAATTCAGGTTGCATAATGTATTTATATGTTTTATTCATTATTAATTAATATAACAAAATTAAATTATTAGTTTTCAAACTTAAACCTTTATGCTGAATATTACGGTATCTTTTAGATCGGATTTTTAGCCAATTATCTAGATTCTATTACAGTATTCAGTTACGAGACATGGCATTGAACAGTATAATTCCAAGTTGATCTATTACTATATTTATAACTTTATATTTATTAATTTTTTGTTTATATATATATATATATATATATATATATATATAATACATACGTTGATTATTATAAATGCCAATTAATAATTTATAAAGAAACTTTTTTATACATATAATAATAAATATCCTTTTCACGACTGGAAATAAATTTATTTATAATATTGTTTTGTAATTACGAAATAAATGAATAAATAAATTTCTAAATATTATTATCAGCAGTATAAATATATTTTCAATGGTGCCCTATTGCGTGCAGTGTCAGTGTTTATTTTTAAACTTAAAAAACATCAAATATTAATATTGCATTATAAGATAATTTTATAATACGAGTATATTTCAATTTGCAATAAATTAATGATAAAGAATGAAGGTAAAGTTGAATTAGAAAATTCGTATTTTTATTTGGCGCCCTTTATTTACACTGGATGTTATGATTATCTTTATGACGTCAGCGTTTTTCGTACCACGTGACCAAAAAAATCCCTGTTACTGTATTCTGTCGTGATCGAAGGAAGTCTTTCAGGTGTAGAACGGAAACTGTTAAACTGACGTAAAGTAATAAATCGTAAAACAAAACTTATTGATATTTATCCTAATTTCCCTTCATTATACCAAATACAAGCTAATAATTGAAAACATATTCTGTATTACAAGATTGATTTAAAGAAAACTATGAATAATTGTCAAACAAACATAATCCACGAAAACTTATAATAATTTAATTTGTTAAAGTACCTTGAAAACAAAAAACATTCAAAGGCCATTGGCTATGATTTTGACATTCTATTTTACGAATTACAAAATTATCATGTATTCAATTACAATTAAGATAATTAGTGCGGAGGTGAAAACCGATATTTATATAACCGATTATATATGAATATAACCCTTATATATTTATATAACAGATGTTCATTACAGAAGTAAGCAATATTATTTGTTTAAATGAGTCTGTTTAAAGATCTTGTCTTAAATAATACAAATTTCTTATTAAGATTGAAGACTTTTATTCAGATTAGTCTCTATTAATTTTGATTACAATACATTCTTATATGATAGCAATCGGACTGGAATCAATAAAGCTTTAAAATTACTAATGAATAAACGTATTGAGAATAAACGAAGAAAAGAAGAAAAGAAAATGGAAAGTCAAGATCGAGAGAAAAACATTTATTACCTACATTTAATTTCTTCAACCAATAAAGCTATAATTTAAACGTTTAACATTTTTCTTAGCAATTCATAGTGCTAACAATAATAATTACAAATGTTATTATGTATGAAAATGTGCGTATTCTTATAAACGTAGTAAATTAATCTAATGAAAATTTAATTACAATCGATAATGCGATGTGCTATCCGTGGGCCTTAAATAATTGATAATAATTAAGTTGAATTATTAATTGGCACTTGGTCGATTAAAATTGATATGGTGATTTGGCAAACTGGATCACAAACTAATATAAAACAGTTCTCCGGATTTTGTTAAAATCAAACGAAGCAAGTAAATCTCCTTCGCAAAAACGATAGCGAAAGCCTTTCCGACTTCATCGACCCACACCACGTGCTACACACATCGAATTCACACATCGAACGTCTACTATTCGTTAATTCTCACTACGATACGTATTCCTATGTCCCATCGAATTCGCGAGACTTTCCATAACTGTGATGTTGACGAAAGAGAATACGGACTCGGAGAAGAGTGTGGGAAAATAGAAGGCTCAAAGAGAAAGATAACCGGTATCGAAGCGATTCGTGGCGGCTACGAGAAACATCGCTGCAGGCGCTTAAATTGAGAGTGTTGGATAAAAATGTGCGCAGTGCTCTCTCCCTCTCGTTATTTGTCTGTATGAATCTTTCTTGATCCAACGTGACTGCATATCCTAATTGATACTTTCATTGTAAAAAAATGTTTCAATACTAATAAAACCAAAACTGTAGATAATGTGAACTAGGCAAAATTCAATAAATTAATAAATATTTTTAAAATTATAATAAACTTATAACTTTATTGTGATATACCAAATACATTCAATCTTTTTTTACCCATTAAAATTTACAATTTATTCAATATTGATTTTTTTAGCACATTAAGTGATAGAAATTAAATGATACCAGCAAATTTTTACGTTTGATTGTTGTATCTTGTCAAGAAATGATTTGCCTGACTAGTACTTTATAATTAATAACTATGACTTGGTTTGTTTTTTATAAGTAAACTAATGAAATAACTGTATTTAATTCATTTATTCCGCTATGGGTCTATAGAAAAACACGTCTTTTTGCGTAGCATTGCATAAGTTATCTTTATTCCTTTGTTTACAGCTACATCTCGATGAATCACTGAATTTGAAGAGAAATAACTGCAATTCATAAATTTAACTCTTACTTTTATGTCAACCCAGTTTAATGATTTTAACCTAATATTATGTAGCTTTATCTATGATGAACAGATTGTAAAAACTAATTCTTCTTTGTAATTGTATCGTTAATTTCTTTATGACAAGTCGTGTATGCTGATCCTAAGCCAAAACCGGCTCCTGTTACAATGGGCCATTTTCCTGAAAAAATGCATCGATTTTACCATTTGGAATTCATCGATCAATTTAGAAGATCGCTTTTTAATCGATAAATACAATTTACATACTAAGGTTTGGTAAAATTAAGCAAAAACTTTATAATTTACATTTGTAAATCGAAGCGGCTACGATATAACTCGTATACGTTTCTTTGTTAAAAGCATTTTATTTACCAAGCTTCTCATCTACTTTTATTATATTTGGAGTAAATACCTTAATCAATATTACAAATATAAATATGTAACACACAACTCAGCTTAATACAATATTAATGCGCATCAATAACAATGAAAATGATTAATAATTTAATATAACATTATTAAGTCAATAAATACAGAATAAGATAATTAATTATATTCAATATGATATTTTACAATGGATATTAAAATATTTTTAGAAAATCAATTGTCAATATTATAAAAGTATATCAATGTAAATGGTCTTTCTTATTTACAAAATGCCTCTTGTTTAATTTAATGCATATAATAATTAATGTCATTTTGTTTAAATGTTCATTCTGTTGATTTGATTTAAAAAAAAAAACAAGGAAACACATTGAATCGATAACCTAATAAAAAGTAATAATAAACCAACAATAAATTACCACAAATTAAAATAAAATAAAATTGACTCATATTGCAATTAAAAGGAAAATTATAACCGTAAAATTAATAAAAATGAATAAGAAACAGTCGTGACTTACTCCTAATAAAAAGCAGTGAAATAATAGATCCAACAAAAGTACCAGCCCCTGAAATCAGTATAGTAAGGTCGATTTAATGATTGATCGGTCATTTATATTGATATCAATAGAACTGTCATTAATGGTTATTATAGTTACCAAGTTTTACTAATGCGCTCGTAACACATCGGTCCCATTTTTTTCCAATTTCTTCCTCCGTCCATGTCGGAGTAGATACCATTATAGCTAGACAAGAAAAAAGTGTTAAAACGTTACATCATACACATCACATAGAGGCACAATAAGATGAAAGAAATTCGATATTATGCTTAACAATAAACAAAAAACGTATTTTGAAATTTCATAGCATTGATGATTGTAATTAAATAAAACATCGGAGGGAAAATACTTAATAATAATGGTCTATAGTAAACGAATGCTTTTTTCCAAATTGTGGGGTACCTGTAGTTTCGTTGAAGGTTATACAGTTGTCTGCTATTACACTTTACTGACAAATTAATTTTACAAAAATGACGCAATGACGTAAAATGCTTCTGCTGCGTGTCATTCCATTTTTAAACATATCACGAATCTCAATGAATTCAAAAAAGAGTCAAAATTTAAATCTTTTTTTTATAGGCATCTTCAAGTGTTATATTATGAAACGAATTTCGGAATTAAAAGCTCGACACGAACACGACATTTCATTAGTACCAATATTATAACCACCGAACATTAAATAATAAAGCCTTACGATTTCTGGTGCGAACATATATATTTTTCGGCAACAATGAATGTTTGTGTATTACGCTATCCTTGATCATTTATATTATTAAATGAATATTATTAAATAAAAAATATATATATATATATATATATATACCTTATACCTTACAGATTAACTACAGATTTCCTAATTTTTGTGGCGAAATAAGTTAGGCAGTCTGTTGTAGATCCTTGGGTAGAAGAAAATTTGTAATATGTATATAAGTCACTTACATCGTGGCGCGACGATCATAAATAACAAACATATTGTGAGTCGGAATCTAAGAACGCGTAGCGCGAAATCGAATTTCATTATGCAATTTCAAGCAAATTGGGGCAATAGCATTGTTATGTGTCGCTAGTTGATCCACGGTTATTGTTTACTATTTTATATTTTTATTTACATCACGCCGGTTAGTGCGAAAAAAACGTATTATTATGAATTCGCGTCTAAGGGATAATATTTCGTTTGCCAGTAAATATGATATGCCAATAATTTAAATCGTCGATCGTTTTATCAATTCGAGCACACTTGTCTCACTTACACTGATCCGCAGTGATAAACAATTTTAAAATAGGAAATATGATTTTTAAGGGCTTGAATTTCAAAAGGTAAATACAGATTATCAATTGAAATAATTATATTGCAATTAAAAAGCGGCACACTCAATGGTCACAACGCCTTCATTAATCAGTAGTTTATCAATATCGACTAGCAATAAACAATAGCCAAAGTAAAATTCGGTTACTCCGGTCCACGTACTTACGATTAAACCGACCAATTCATTTGCTTTTATAGAAATATTAAATATGGCAAAGTAAGGTCCGCGATCGGTTACCAAATCCATAATCGATATGACTGTTTCAAATTCCAATTTTAACAATTATTTACATGTACGGCGGCTCCAAATAATCGTTTATTTTCAATCTCTGAATGTTACAATATATACCTAATATATAACTAATTACGTAAATATTGTAAAAATTTAATTGAATCCTGGGCATTTATTTTAACTCTAAATGTTAAATTATTATTTTAAAGTTACTTTGCACATTAAAAGAATTAATCGATAAAAGCTTTCGAATGCAACTCTCGATCTTTGGTAGCCATGGTACATATATTTATCAATATAAATATATTAATTTTAATAGGTTATATAAAATTATAATTAAAGCACCTTATTATCATTATTACTTATTATTATTATTATTATTATTATTATTATTATTATTATTATTATTATTATTATTGTTGTTGTTGTTGTTGTTGTTGTTATTAGTATTGCTATTATCGCTATTATAAGTTATTAGAAATCGTTTGTTTGAATATATTTAAAGGTACACCAAGTGACTACGCATCTATAATTTCTGAAGTTTTGGCTTGATTCGGGTTTTGAATGCGGAGAAATGATAACCAAGTAAAATAGCCTAAGCATAAAAATTTATTATTTAGTGTATTTTTAGATTTTCAGTTTTTAATTCGTATTGTACATATTGGACTTATAAAAAGTGATTAGAGTAAAAGTCATTATTGTACTTTATATAACTTTATATACGGTCATAAAATACTTTAGTAAATCATTATTTATTCAATTAAATAGTAAGTAAATTAAATTATAAATAAAGCTACTATAATGGTCCAAACCATTAATGCAAACAAATGTTAATTAATATTGAATATTGTAGAGTAAAGACTACCATGTAATTTATAACCTTATGCGGTATCATTTTATCGGCCTATAATTTTCAATAGATTATAATAAAAGTCTAAAGTTGTTTTTATTACAAACATTTAGTTATGGCACATCGAGCTTTAATGGGATTCTACAAGAAGTTATCGCCTATAAAGAAGGAGATAAAAACGTTTGAAAATCTATTAGTTTTAGACTTTGAAGCAACGTGTGTCGAAGATAAAATTTTATCACCTCAAGAAATCATTGAATTTCCATGTATTGTTCTTTCTACTAAAACTTGGAAAGTAACAAATGCTTTTCATAAATATGTTAAGCCACAAGTACATCCTAAAATCTCATATTTTTGTACCGATCTAACAGGAATTATGCAACAAACTGTAGAGAACGAGCAACATTTTCCAGTTGTTTTTTCAGAGTTTTGTCAGTGGTTGGAAAAGGGAAACTATTTTAATGAAAAAGAAAACAGTGCTTTCGTAACATGTGGCGATTGGGATTTGAGAGTTATGCTTCCAGAACAATGTAAACTAAGTAACATTGAAATACCTTATTATTTTAATCAATGGATTAATATAAAAACGGCATTTTGCGCAAAAACAGACTATTATCCACGCAGTTTAAAAGATATGTTGAAACATTTAAATATGGAATTTCATGGAAAATGCCATTCCGGTATAGATGATGTTCATAATATAATTAGAGTAATACAAAAATTGGCAAAGATGTACAATTCGGAGTTCACAATTACTTCAAATATTCAAATTAAAGACTCATTTTCATTCAATACTGTTTATTAAAAACTATTCAATATTTTACATTAATACTGCTATATTAAGTAATAAAACTCGACTGAACTGTTAAAAATATTAAAATTGTGTAAATATGTATAAAATAATAAAAATTTACATTTCTATTTATATATAAACATCGTGCAATAGTTTATTTATACAATTTTATGTTTATACTTCAGGTATATCTTGTAAAAGGCAAGAATGTTTTTAGTGTTTAAATCTATTTGTAAGGCACTAATTCATTATTTCAATTAGTAGGTAAAAAACTTTCTGCTCCAAAATGAGATTCACTGTTGTGATCGCTACACAATGAATAAAATGCCTGCGAATCATCCATATTATCTTGAAGCATAGATATCGTTTCATCAGCTTGCGTTTCTATCGTTAATTTGATTTCATTTTGAATGATTCCTTTACACAAATCACCCAGATTTTGCTATAAATATAAAATAAGTGTCCTTAATAATTTAAAATAAATTTCATCAAGTATATTTAATTTATTTGTGATGGTATACCACTGAATCGCCTATTAACTTCAAATCTTGCGTAAATACTTCTCCAGGGAAAGCTTTACATATTGGCTGAATAACATCTCTAAATTCATCAGTATTCTCGTCTATTTTATCATGAAATTGTCCGCTATCTTTTAATTTTTTATACAGTCTGGCATAAATACAAGTTGTTAATTAATTTCTTTTAATTATATCCATTAATGTTAAAATTGTAACTATTTACCTTCTTACTCGTAATCTAGTTGGTTCATCACCATGTGTTATTTTTAACGTTCCTACATGAATAACTCCCGTTTGGTGAATTATTATAAGATCATCTTTCCTGGGACGAAAATCCAATGTGACCCATTGAATTTGATTTGGGCTTAGTAATAATTCAGTTGGCTCTATATGCCAACTTGATAATACGGATGGGTACAAAGCTGAAGAATAATTAACATTTATTTATTTCTACTTCATTTTTAACAGAAAATACTAACCTTTTGGAATAAGTTTCACTTTCGCAAAACACGATAAGTCTCCTGTATTATGTAATTTAATTTTTGCATGAAGAATTCCTTCTGAATTTAATTTTCCAAGAGACAGCCACATTTGACCACTGGTATCTTTTACAGCTTGAGATATTTGAATTTTTCCACACCCACCATAACCAAATAATTGAACCTAAAATTTATAATAAAATCATTAACAAACATAAACTTCTTTTTTTTTTAATCGTACTTTATCTGCTCCATAGTTTTATTTATTGCTGTAACTTACTACTTTTACAAGGCCAGAAACTTGACGACTTTCACGTACAGAACTATAATGTGAAAAAATTATTTTTCCAGCAGCAGCTTTTGGTAAGTTTGGTGTAAAAATAACAGACAGAGTTCTACTTTCTGTACCTTGAAGAGTTAATGTCATTGAAGATGATACTGTATGTCTGTCTTTGAGAAACTAAATATACGTGGAAACAAATTTAATATAATAAACATGTATTTACAGTACAATTATTAATCATCATACCTTAAAACTTTGATCCTTTGTTTTAATAGTAACAAAAAGTTTAATTTTATTATTACTAGTATTGCGAATGGTGAGTTGTTTAGTATCCGATTTTCCAGCTTTAACACTACCCCATACAACAGCTGTATGCGTTGCTCGTATAGGTATAACAGTTTCAGATGCATTTCCACCAGATACTGTACTCCCTGGTGAATTTCGTCCCGAAGTACCGGATCTACAATGTATAATTGTTACAATAATTATTAATAATTTTATATTTCCCATTTGACTTGAGTATATACTCTCAAAAAGTACAATTAATAAAAAAAAGTAAAAGTAATCAATATTAGTATATCGACATAATAATAAAGTCAATAAAAGTATGTTTTTAAAGTAAATAAAAACAATTTATATTGTAAATTAAGTAAATTTCTGATGTGGAAATCGTTTTTAAGAAGAAAAACTTTACTAAGACTAATAATATAATATAGTAAATAAATGTTTATTAATCGCCTTCATTAAAATATTAAACAGTTCAAAATAGTGATAATGGATTATGATTAAAAGGCTAATAAATAATTGGATGGATTTAATGTATATTTTTTAAACATTTTAATTATTTATAAGTTGATATTTTAAAATGGATATAAAATTTGCGTTTATCTTTACTTTTATTTAAAATACTCATTAAATACCTGTTAAATATTAGACTGTGTGGAGACGTTGGTGAACTAACGGATCTTAAGTATTGTGGAGTTTCTGCACGTTGTAGATGGAAACTATCAGCAGATAATTGCTCGATTTCCATAATTTTTTCTCCGATAATAGGATAAAAAGACAACTTATTTCCTACTGTAATTCTGATCATAGCATTCCTAAAACATTTCAATAGTATAGAATGATTTTAATGGTATCTGAAAGAAATACATATTTTACAAGTATTTTCATACCTTTCAATATCAGTCTTATTATTTTCGGGTTTATAAGAAATTTGTAATGCTAACTTTTCACCTCCGTTAAGTACAATATTATTAGGACATATAAAAAAATCTCTACATTCTAGTTGATTTTCTTTTGATTGCACTATATCTGCAGATGCTGATACCATAATACTGCCTGAATTTTTAAGATTTACTATTTTACCTATTCTAGGTTGAAGAATTAATGGAAATTGAGTATCGAGTATGTCAAGTTTACAAGATCCAATCGAGCCTATTAAAGGTAGTTCTTTAATAAAATGTTCTTCGTTTTCTTTAAAACAAATTGATAGTGTCAACTTTGCCTCAGCATTATGTACACCTTTTTGCAAAGCCTTTTCTATACACATACACACAGACACACAAACACATATATATATTAATTCTTATTAATATATCATTATTTTTAATTTATACATTTATTTTTATTTCTGGATGATAATAAATAATTTAATAGCTCACCTCCAAAAGACTGAAGTGACATTCCTTTAAAATCAATATTTACTTTCACTGGTTGTCTAGGTTTAAGTGTGAAATGTATCGCTTCCCTTTGATTTGCTACTGAGCAAATGGTATCATCAAAACAATCGCCGAAAGTAAATAATTGTGGTTTATGCTGTTCAAAGGCAAATATTTCATTAGTCATGTATAAAATATGAAATAAAAAAACCATACTTGAAATAATATAAAATTAATAACGTAATCAAAAAATGAAAATCAAAACATTCACAAAATTAAAAATATTTTATGTGTGTGTGTGCGTTGCGTGCGCGCGCGTGTGTGTGTGTCATAAAAAATTACTTCGATTCACTAATTTTAACATCAAGTATATATAAAAATCAAAGAAATTAAATTAATTAGTTGCTGTAACGCAAATATTTTTTCTTCTAATTTAATAAATCGTAAATTAAAATAACTGATAACATTATAAATTCAAAATTACTTCTAAAATGGTTTATTTAGAAATTGAATTAGATAAAGAATTTACTTGACTTAAACGTAATAAAACAGGTACTTCTATGGTATTTCGATTTTCAATAGTAATAGGTAAGCTATTACATTTGTCTTCTGTAATCATTTGAAAATTTAAAACATTATCTTCAGAAGGTACAGATATTTTGATATTTGGTTCTTCTGGTACAAAGCACATTAAATGTTTCATATACCAGTTTGTCCTAGTTACCATATCACAACATGGTATATGAAAAAAAGCAATGGTTAATTTTCCCATACGAGGCATTGTTACACCAATCTGAATAATAAAATGAAAAAATTATTAGAATTGAAAATTAACAGTAATATACAAATAATTTTTGAACTTAAGTACTTTAAAAGACTTTTGTGCATCTGGTTCAATTAAAATATCATTAACAGGTAAGTCAAGATTAATATTATCTTTTTCCCCTTGGATTTGGTCAAGCTTTAAACTGGATAAAATCCACCGATCAGTTCCATTATACAATTCAAAATCTGCTTCTTTATATATACCAACTAAACAAGTACAGAGTTCTTGAGTTTTTTTACCTATTTGTACTTTTCCTGTAAAAAAATATTTATTAGAATAATATGCATCAATGCACAATGTAATAATTCTGTTGAAATTTATAGATTACTTGTGTCAAAAGATTGATTCTTAATTAATGAATCTGTAAAAATATCCTCTTTTGATTCTGAATTAATTTTGATAAATGTCGGATCACTTATGTCTGATGGTCCTATATCATGGATTAAACTCGATTCATTATTGATAGAAGTGGAATTACTAAAATTATTTTGACTATTTGACAACTGCGATAGTTGCCTTGACAGAGGCATCGCAGAAGATTCCGCACGTGGAACACTTATATTCAATCCTATTTAAAATATAAAATACAAAATATTTTTAAAAGATAGCATTTCACTTTCCTAAATTAGGCTTTGTGCCTCGCAATTAATCTAATATATTGTGCATATACCTGATTGTTGATTATTGTGATTAGATAATTGGTCAATAGTTTTGTTTTCAGTGTGCTTAGGTATCAATGTCTCATCTTTTAAAAGATCTTCAACGCTCATTTCTAATAACTTTCGTAATTTCGGATCAAGTAAATTTGCTTGACTTAATAATTTATTCAATTTTTTTTCATCTATCTCAATACTTTTACTGTCCAAGGATAATTTGTTTCCAATTTTACTTTGTACTATATTCTTTTCGGATTTGTTTTTAATAGGAGTTGTTTTTGTAGAAACTGGTAGCGACGCCCTATTTGTTGATAAAAGTGTATACGTATCACTAGCACACTTATTACTTACTTTTTTTTGTTTTCGTTTTTTTTTATTAGCATCCAGAATTTGATCGACTAATTTTCGAGGAGTTGCGGAGTCTACATCCTGCAAAATCTGAGCAATAGCACTCAGACTTATGGTACTCGGTTCTTTAGTACAATCTGCACTATTACTTTCCTTATCACCTGAACGATGTAAATATAAAATAAATATTAGTCTTTTTAAATGTCTATTAACTTTCATAGAATAATATCGAATGTCGCTATTATAAAATACTCTATAGTATATACAATTTTTTTTGACATTAGAAGAATTAACGTTATACATAAAAATTTATATATACTTCACTATTAATCTTTTCTTTCTCTATATGTATATTTAATATAAAATATTACTTGTTTAAAGTACTTGTACATCACATTCTTATTCAATTAACTTTTGTTGTTTTGTTTTTTTTTTTTGTTTTTAATTTGTTATCTACATTTAAAGAGTTTTTATTAATCCATGAATTGGAAGATTTATATACGATAAGAATTTGTAAATCTACAAATTACCGATCTAAATTTTTTAATAAAAACCTTTGCATTTCGTACATAATTATTTATAATAAGGTAATTTATACACATATTTATAGATTCGTATCAATAAATAAATAAAGATAAAAATATCAACCTTCGGTTACTATAGTTTCATCGACTAGTGGTCGTGACTTCCCTTGTCGTTGTGGACTTTTTATATCAAATCCAAAACTTGGTCTATCGGAAACACTTGGAGTCGATAAGTGGCCCGTACCACCACATTTTCTTTTAAAAAATTCACCTACAGAAATTCTACCGCCATCTAATGTCAAATCAATATCACCTATAATTCCTGAGAAACAAGAAAGATCCAAGCGTTCTTTATCGTTTGCATTAATTGGCATGGAAGCAAGCTTATTCTTTCTCCAAGATATTTCATCAGCTAGTATTTGATTACCAACTTTTGAACCCGACATAAATTCCTCATCTCCAAATTGTGCCATCACTTCTGCTACATTACTATTATAACTGATGCCGCTAAAATTTTGCTGTTGAAACGTTTCGCTCTTATCAGTCGCCTTATTAAATTCTGAAGAACGAGCAGTGATCTCAGTTGGCTCAAAGATAATCTAACAATACCAGAGAAATATAATTACTTTAAAAAATTTTAAGAAAAAACGAATTTCAATAAATAATTGAGGACGCTAGATTAAACATTTAATATAATAATATATGTAAAAGAATGCATGTTATGTTATCTAAAGATTTTGAAAAAATATTTACTTCTAAATACTTACACTAGTGGTCCCTGTTGATTTATTATCATTATCATCCGATTGTTTTTGACTTTGTATTTTATTAGGATGTTGAGATTGTGAATTTTTCATATTAAAAAGATAATTAGAAAGGCTAGTTACCTTTTGCATATTAGAGGAATTAAAATTATTTTCTTTGTCAGGTTCTAAAAATGAATTTTATATATAATTATATTGATAATCTCAGCTTGTAATGGAAGCTAAGAAATACTATACGTACTCGATGAAACTGCATTTGTAGAGTCACTACATTTCTTTAATACTTTACGAGCAAGCTCACGCTCACGTTCTAAACAATCCCTTTTACTTTTCAATTCGTCAAGACTGTTGTCATTTAATACTATAAAAGAATTATCGTCAAAATTATTATTTTCTTACAAAACAATAAAATATAAAATAACATAATAAAGTATATTTTTAAAAAAATTACACGATGAAATATTTTGAATGATGCCCAATGAAGACTCATCAGTACACCGTGTAACATTGCTATGATCAAAATTTAATTGTCGATGCTTAGTGTTTTGTTCGTCAATATACGACTTGCGCGGCTTTCCTTGCAATCTAAAAATAAAAAAATTTTTTTTTTTCATTATTTTTTTTTTTATCGACGAAATAGAAGAGCAAAATATCTTTATAATTTATAAAATAAAATAAACATTAAAAACAATCTTTTTTTAAAAAGCATATTTTATAAAACATACAAGGATCGCCGGTCGACCGTCGAGGAGGCTTGAGGTTGCGGTGTATCGAGAATAGTGACATCCGTGAAATCCATTAATTTCTTAGATGGATACTCCTTCTGATCTTTACTTTTTTTCTTATTCAACTCCATCGTTGGCCCTTGATACACTCCGAACACTGCAGTCGCGGGCCACAACAAAATAAAGCGGGGACTTGCCCCAAAGGAGGCGGTTTATATGCGGACTCACTGCTTTACAGATTGTACAATTTACCTTCAATCGGCTGTTAAATTTGAAAATGTTTACGTCCGGGAGATGGGAAGCATACAATGAGAAAACGCGATCAACATAGTTTTTCAAACTTCACTGTATAAAGTTCCCCGCGATGCCGATCGCGTCGCGCCATTCATGAGAAGCCAACAAGTACATTACATATTATAACGTAGCATGTTATCCAAATTTCATCGTAGATGATTCTTCCCTCCCATCCTAAGATAAACACAACAAATTATAAATGGCTTGAATAATAATGAGATGACAAATAGTGTAAGCTAACAGTATGGCATTTACTCACAAAATTATAGAAAATAAGTTATTGTAGAATAGCCTCAAAACGCAAAACAAGAGCACTTTGAATTTATAAATTGTGGCGAGAAGCGAGCAGCGGCAGCGGCAATCAAAGAAACTCTGGACAACCCAACACGACTGCTCATTTAGGATAGGACCTTTGAAACTTGAGTTTGGTTTGTACTCTGTAGGTGGAGTTAAAATTGGTGGTTGATCAATTAAACCCTAAAATCAGGTAATCCATATAGACATTAAGCAAATATAACGATTTCAGTAGCGCGATATGGGCTTATAATTTTATTATATATCAATATGCTACATACGTACTTTTTCCCTTCTTTTATGTAAAACTCAAACGGAAATTACGACTATATCCCATAATTGCAAATTGTGTGCATTATGTTTTTGTTTTTATCACAGTATATGCAACATCCTTTGCCCATGTAATTAGAGATATTTGTTTATATTTAAATTGCAATTACGAATATATATATATATATATATATATATATATGTATATTATGATTGTTTTACACCCTTTTCGCTTTCGTTACGTTATATAATTCATTGATTCAATATCAAATTATTTAAAAACTAACAATACAATGTATTACATGTAATAGATAACGTATATTTTTTTTCTACTCGTCTTATAAGGCTGCCGCGTCTTGTTATTTTTATATTTGAAAGTTAATGTTTTTTGTTATGTTATACTTCTAGTTATAGTACTAACTTGAAAACAATCTAAATTCTTATTTAATTCCATATATTAGAGATTATGAAATTATCAATGGATAGTCAAATCTGTTGTTCATTATAATTACAATTCACACACACACACACGCGCGCGCACACACACACACGCACACACGCACGCACACACATATTTAATATCATTTACGTACGGAAGAATAAAAGAATGTTTTGGTGAAAATTAAATAAACACGATTTTATCGTTAGTAACTGGAAATCGAACCTTTACACGAAATAACAATTGAAAAAAGCTGATATTTACTTTCAATTATAGCCGTTACTTGTATTAGGATGCGATATTTCAGCATATTACAGTGGCTATTTGACATTATCTCATTAAGCGCAAGATTATTTATTACATACTTAAAATTAAAAGAATTACAAGATTCTTTCAGCCTAAACTTTAAGATTTCAAATACCCGCTAAGTCTACAGTATTTGAATATCGCGCATAATATAATTGTAATTAGAGATATTTGTTTATATTTAAATTGCAATTACGATTTAATGCGTTTATATATATATATATATGTATATATAATTATTAGTAAACCGTTGAATGTTAATTATCCAATGCAAATTCATTGTAGCTTTTATAAAACATTTTTAACTTTATAGTATATTTTTCTATATACGTATGTTTTTATGTTCGTACATATTTTCTATATTTTCTATAGTAATCTTTTAAGGTTAAACATTTATGTATTTGTATTATTTTTTAAAGTGATATTAAGTTGAGTGAAGCAAGTAATGACCAACTGAGGATGAGTGCAGAAGCTGATGAATCTCAAGAAAATTCAGTAAATGAAGTAAATAAAGAGACGAAACAAGGACATGAAACAACTAAGGAGGATCTTTATGCGTATTTGGAGAGGGATTGTTATACCACAGAAAAATTTAAAGTAGAAATTAGAGGCTTACCCAAATATTATGGAATTGGTGAATTAAAGAAATTTTTAAATGAAAAGCTTTGTTTAAATGCCAACAAAATTAAACCACCAAGAAAAGGTAGTGGTTGGGCGTACGTTTGTTTTCGAAACAATGAATGTCGAGACAAAGCCATTAGTGTACTTAATGGTATAAAATGGAAACATGCACAATTAACAGCTCATGTAAAAATATTTACTTTTAATTTTCATATTATATAAATTTTGGTTATAAATCAAAAGATAAAAAATTTTTTATCCATCGATTAGGTTGCAAATCCAGCTCCAGATCCCTACATGAAAAGAAAGCTTGAAAAGAATGACGAATGTTCTAAAAAAATGAAAATTGGTGCAAATTTGGAATCTATTTTACCAGAAGATCAAATAAAATCTAACACAATTCCTCTTTGGAATATGCCATACGATGAACAAGTAATATCTACCTTTTGTAATACTTATTTGTAAATCACTGTGTATGTTATAATCTTTATATATTAGTTCTTTATTAATCTTTTCAGTTAGAATTTAAACAGAATGAAATGAAAAATATTATCGATAAAATGGGCAAACAAATTTTAAAAGTTAATAAAGATCTTGCCGGCTGGCTAAATAAACAAAAGGAAGACAATGATGGTTTACCATGTAAATTAGGAAAAATTGTTCATTCTAATGTTATAGAGGGGTATAGAAATAAGTGTGAATTCACCGTTGGTAAAACATCATATAATTCTATTTTATTAACAATTTAAAACGTTATGTAACTATAAATTAATTTTTGATAGGCATAGATGTAACTGGAAAACAAAAAATGATTGGATTTAGGCTTTCGAGTTATGCTGCTGGATCGATAGCTGTAGGACCCATTGATCATCTGTGCCACATTCCTAAAAGAATGAAAATAGCCATAAAAGTATGCAACTTAAAATTTTACTATTTCATCTATGTAAATTTTATCATCGATATTTTTTATAGATATTGGAAAAATTTATTCATAATTCAGAATTAGATGTGTTTAATCCAATAACACATAGTGGCTATTGGAGGCAAGTCAGCGCTCGAACAACGCGATTAGATCACTTAATGTTAATAATTGGTATACATCCTCAAAATATGACAGGCGAAGATAAAAAGAAATTGCAGTTAGAATTGAAACAGTTTTTTGAACAAGATAGTAATTCAATAGCTCGTGTTACATCCTTGTATTTTCAAACGATCGAAAAAAAGTAAAATTTTAAAAAATATTTATAATTTTTAGATTATAATATTAACGATAAATACCGAATAAAATTTATTATAGAGCCGCTGGTGGAGAAGGTGGTGGTATAATTGAACACGTTAGTGGACTTCCTTATATAGAGGAAGCGTTGCTTGGTATGACATTTAGAATTTCTCCAGAAGCATTTTTTCAAATAAATAGCTTATGCGCTGAAGAATTGTATAAGACAGCTATTGATTTAATGAAGCCTACTACTGACACAGCTTTACTCGATGTTTGCTGCGGCACAGGAACAATTGGACTTATTTTTGCAAAAGTAAATTAATCGGTGTCAATTAATTCGATAGTATTAAATATCATATTTATTGCGTTCATCTAAATTTGAATATTTATAGCATTGCGAAGAAGTCTTTGGTATAGAGATGGTACCGAATGCAATCGAAGATGCAAAAGTAAATGCTACAAAGAATAATGTAAGCAATTGTGAGTTTTTTGTTGGTAAAGCAGAAGATATCTTGTTGCCCGTAATAAATAGAACAAAAAAATCAAATGTCGTTGCAATTGTTGATCCACCAAGAGCTGGATTGCGTAAGAATAAATTGATTACGAATTTTAGTATTATGCACTGAATTTTCACGCAAATTTTAACAAATTATATTTCTTTGCATTTATTTTACAGATCAAAAAGCATTAGTTGCACTACGTAAAATCAAACAATTGAATAAGTTAGTTTATATTTCTTGTAATCCTAATGCTGCTATAAAGAATCTTGTCGATTTAGCAAGACCGAATTCAAAGCAATATTTCGGTGAACCTCTAGTGCCTATTAAGGCCATTCCTGTTGATATGTTTCCTTATACAAAACATTGTGAATTAGTTTTGTATCTTGAAAGACTTCCACTCGTAAAAGAATCCATCGATGAAATGTAAAATATGTAAAATATGTAAAATTCAATGTATAGTTTTACATAAATAAATTTTATGAAATTGATAAATAACAACTGATAATAATGTATAAAAAAAAATTTGATATATTTACAAAAAATTTGATCGATAGAAAAAGATTCCAGAAAATGTTTGTTAAAAGTTTTAATGAAATTACAATAATATATAAAAAAATTTTATTTGTATACAAGAAATTGTAAACAGTCTTTGTTCAAAGTTTTGAATGAATTACAATTACCGACATTTATAATTAACAGCAAATTATTTAATTTTTTTTTTCGACAAATTATATCTATTAAGGTATATTAGAGTCACATCGCAATAACGTTGAGTTTATAACGATCTTAATATATATTTTAGCATGAAATGAGTAACTCTGCTTTTTGTCAATATAATGTTATGGTGTTTATATTATTTGATTATATCTGGTAAAATAATATATTTAGTGCGTTTCATAACAATTCAAAATCAATTTCAGGAAGAGCAAGTGTTTTTTTTTCTCCATTGTCTTTCCAATAAAATTACAACTTTTTGAATATTTCGGACTATTTGAATGAACCGTAATTAGCAAGATGAAAATGATAAAAAGTAATGGGCAAATAATTTACCTCATTCGGCGCTTCAACGCCAATATAATTCAGCTTATGTTGCGCTACGACACACATTTGCACCTTTGCATTTTATGATCGCAGTGCACATGTACACACACACTCACATCATCTTAACAAGCATATAAGATTTTTATCTATAATATATGCAGGTGCTGCAAGCATTTCGATTTTAGTTAATTTATGCTAATATATTTTTTAATTCGTTACTTTGTCATTTTGGCCCCTTTCTACTAATTTTCATAATTAATTTTTGGCCTCCCAAAAATGAAAAAATTAGATAACGAAATATTAAATAGTAAATTTATTATCTTAATGGCATCGTTATTATTGTTTATGATAATTGAGTGCAATTTCATAAGCAATTGTAACAATTCTTCTTCTTCAATTGTAAAAATAAATTTCTTTCGGATGGGATATTAAGTTCACGTGACAAAAAGTAATTTATAACGTTGCGCTAATATTGTCTAATACGAAAACAGTTATTACTAAACGCAACAACGATCACAACAACGACAATAATCACAAGAATAATTTTATTAATACAGAATGCCAAACTCGGCTAATAAATATGCGATAATGGGACGCTAAGTATAAGTCTTAAGAGTCTATTATCGTCAAGAGGTCGTTAAATAATCAATAATCAGTCAGTAATGAACATTGCCGTAAGAAAGTGGTAAAAATACTCGGGAAATTGTTCGTTTGGGGTTCGATTAAAGATCGAACAATTAATTCTATAGTGTTTAAAAATTAGTTTTAACGGCCCCTAGGTTCTATTGTATCTCGGCCGCGGACGGGTCGGGATCCGGGCGGTGATGGCGATCTTTCCCGATTCAACGTGCCCTCTAATCTGGCAAAAGATCGAATCGGAGTCGGGGAGCTTAGTGGGGGTCCACTCTCGATTTAGAGATCGACAGCGCCCCGGGGACTCGGTTCCGGGCCATCTCCGTGAGATACCGGCGGCCGCCAGGAGACACCGCGGGGGCATCCAGCGAAACGAGTTTGTGCGCGGTGGTGGCGGCAGCGGCGGCGGTGGTGATTGGATGGCGCCTAAGCGGCACTCTGTGCCGCCCGACCAACCGCACACTCGCACTTCGACTTCGGGCAACCTCCGCGACTTCAGTTTTTTTTGGCTCGTCGCCGGTCCCACGTCACGGCGGCGGCCGGGTGACTGCCTTGGCGGGGGTGGGGGCGAACGAACGAACGAGCGAGCGAGCGGCGGAGGTGGTGGCGACGGCGGCGACAGTGGTGGCTGTGGTGGCTGCGGTGGCTACGGTGGCTGCGGCGGTAGCGGTGTCAGAGGAGGAAGAAGAGGTCCGCGACATCGACTGGCGGCGGCGAATGGCGATATTTCGTCTGGGGCCGCGTCGCGTGTGTGTATCATCGGGCCCTCGCGTGCATCGAGTACGTTCTCTTGGTGGTGCTTGGGGAGCTGGAGCAGCGGGGCAACGGTACAGCCGCTAGTATGTCCATTTTGAAGCAGTAAAGGGACGGCTTACCGTCCGTCCAGTGGTTAGCGAAATGTAGTGCGCGTGCATGGGATCGCTGTGGTGCAGCGCCGAGAAGGGTCAGCAATCATAGGGGAGATTTTGCGGAGCCAAGGCAAGGAGGAAGGATGGCTTTCCTCTGCCCGGTGCGCATACGCCGTGGCAAAAAAAAGAAACGTGAGTGCTGAGCGGATGTGGAGTGTGTGTGTCGTTGGTGAGGCGCGAGTGGGGGAGGGGGGGAATCGCCCTGCCTGTTCTCTTTTATACTTTTGAGATTGGCGAATGTCTTATTGAACGTTTCCATTTTTAACACAGCTTTACGTGCCTTTTTTTATTTTTCGATAATACGGCAATCGATGCGTGATTTATACACGCCCCTTCCCTCATAAATCCCTCGTCGCATCGACCCTCTCCCCCTCACGGCCCATTCGCCAGTGTGCGCTCGTCGTTAGGACGTTGAGCACTGAAATTACCACCTGTTGAGCATTGTCCGACTTGTCACTATTCGTGGATTTTGCTTTGTCGTTATTTTCTTTGCAATTCAATAAAACGACCGTCGAATTAACGATAACCCAAGTAGAAAAAGCCGAAATTTAGATGAGAAATTCACAAATCTGAGAAAGATTAATTGTGTCCCAGCAATGTTCTAATAATGTATTCAAAATTATCCAATGTCAGGCCATTATTTTAATATATATATATATATATATATATATATATATATATATATATATATAAATAAGCAATTATTTACTAATTTTTTTTAATGCAACATAGGTAATTGGAATGGTTTAATTCAAATTCTAATACAAGTTTGCATTATATCTAAATTAATGCAACTAAAAACCTTTAATACTTATCGAAAGAAAGCAAATAAATATTATTATTAATAATAATGATGATGATAATAATAATAAACAGTCTAAAAATTTATTTTGATTCAGTAAAATAATACTTATTGTAGTGTTAATTAGAATTTTTATGAAATTATGTACAGTGGGAGCGCACAATTTTACTTTGGAAAAGGATGGCCTGGGTGGACCTGGTATGGGCTTATCCAATAGAGTGCCATTACCACCGGGTCGTATTACTGGAAGCGCTAGTATTGAAACACTTGTAAGAGTGGGCATTGAAAAAGAAAATGGACTTTCTCCTGACAGTAAAATGGTCATTATACACGATTTTACTCCATGTGTCGATGATGAACTTCAAGTTAAGAGAGGCCAGGTAAATTACATTAATATTTTGCACATTTAATTGTTATAGTACTGAAATTCTTATCGATAAGAGTCTCAAGTATTATTACATACAAGTTACGCATTTTAATTATAATCAAATATTTCGAAGGTGGTGAATGTGCTATATAGAGAAAATGATTGGGTATATGTCATTGCTGCTGATACCAGAATGGAGGGTTTTGTTCCTCATTCGTATTGTGCTCCTTACACATCTCAATTGGCAGAGACAACATTGGCGCTTATAAATAACGTAAAGAAAAAATTACCTCGTTCAATGGATGATGGAGATCTCCTTAGCTCTGGGAGATCTCAAGGTCTGGATAATCAGCAAACAGATACTGGTTCAGCTTCCGATTGTGAAAGTTACGCTCGAAATATTACAACCGCTGATATAAATGTGAACCAGTCAATTTCTCAATCCCAGAATTCAATTCAAACCACGCAGTCCCAGCCTGACGTTCATCCATTCTTCAAAGTTAGATATATCTTGATTACTTTTAAAAACCAAAATATAATTTTTACATGCATACATTGTATTTTATTTTCTTTGTTTTTAAGGATCCATCAGCTGGAAGGTATATTGTTCTGTACACATTTGTGGCTAGAGATGAAAATGATGTAAGCGTAGAGAGAGGAGAATTTGTTACGGTACTGAATCGAGATGATCCAGATTGGTTCTGGGTACTAAGACACTGCGACGGTAACGAAGGCTTTGTGCCATCTGGTTTTGTGTATCCAGGCCATGTGCTTCACTCATACACAACTACTGGAACAACAACGACAACGACAACCACCTCAATTTCTGGAGAAACCCATAATTTAGGTAGATTTCATTAAACTTTTAGAATACTTTAGCGATGAAACTTTTTTCTCTGTATTATGCACAAGGAATATATCATGTATATGTTATGTCTTCATTATTACACATACCAGTGTAGTATAGTACATGATTTGGTTTAACTCAATGTATTAAAACAATGTTACATCATCTTTGATCAAATATGTTGAAATTAAAAAGACATAAAGAAATTATGTCTATAACAGAAATAAATAAATTAAAATTTCCTTAAATTTTTACAAAATAATTTTTGTTCATCTTTGAATTATTCTAATTTTTTTGTTTTTCTTATATATCTATCTAATGGTTTTGTATTATGAAAAAACCATAAAATATCCCATAATATTTAAACGTATCAGAATTTAGAAGGTATTTTTTTAAATACAATTTACCGTTTTTAAAATTACATATTTTTTTGGCAAATAAAATTAATAATTTAAATGGACTACATATTTAAGGAGTTTAATAAATAAAATGTAATTAAAAATGACAAACAAAAATTATTTTTAAATCAATTATCATGCGTTTTCTCACAGTGACGCATACGAATGCCTTGTATTGCAGGTGCAGGCAACGGGAATGCAATGGGTAACGAACAGTTACAACAAAAGGATACGAGGGACTTCCGGGATGAGACGACCGGTACCGAATTAGTTGTACTTTATGACTATAAGGCGCAGGCGCCGGACGATTTATCCGTAAGACGAGCCGATTGGATTTACGCGGATCTAGGCAATCAAACCGTCGACGGATGGCTTTGGGCGTATGCACCGAAAACGAGAAAATACGGTTTCATTCCCAAGGCGTACGCACGCCCTCCCGCCATGACTAGTTTATAAATAATGCAGTTCGTAATTCATTGTATTTATATATTTTATACTTATCCTCTAAATAATACAAAATTTCTATCAATGTTCCTGTATATGGATGTCAATTACATTTTCTAAGCAATTGGTTATCAATTTTTTTCTCACGAAAGAATGTAACGGATTAGAATTTTGCAATGCAAGCCCTATTAAAATCTTTTGTTTTGTTAACAACAGGGAATTTTAAATGTATTAATAATTAAAAGTTTTCAACTGCGTGTCTTATATAAATGTGCCTAGTATTATGAAAGAAAGGGGATCATACCTCGTAAGTCAATGTATCGAACATTGATGTTTAAAGTTTTATATCCAGACATTATTCGGTTAAGAAATTCGTCGTGGGGTATAGCACAATCGCCAATGAGGAAGATTTCTCTTGGTTTCTCAAAAGTGTGCAAGAAATTTATTGGACCAGTTATGTCAATGAGCGGAGAGACTTGTTGTCGATGCTGTCGATGACCTATACATATATAGATATATGTTTAAATTTTATGTACTCGTTTTTACAAAATATGTATGCGCGTGCTTTTACATTTTTGGTCTTAAGATTTTAAAAAAATCTATTCAGTTTTCTATTTTTATAAAACAGAGTATATTTAAAAAATGTACAATACTTTTGTAGTTTTTAATTAATTGTGAAACCATTCTTTAAATTGGTGATTTCATCCAGAGTCGAATGTGTTAAACTATGTGATAATAATAAGTCTTGTAATAACAATAATAGATCAATTTAGTTATAAAGAAATATTGCTGGAATTTATTTTAAACAATAAATTTTTGCTACTTGTACTTTTGCATTATTTGGAGTAAATTTCTTTTAAGATACCAAGTGCAATGCTACTCTTAACAATTTTTTCCAAAATTCGAATTTTCCAAAAAATTAGAAGAATATGTTAAGTGCCAAATTGACCTGAATCCTAATGGCATAAGGCTCCAGTGTCCAGACTAGCAACCCAGACCACTACGTCGTCTCCTCGATTAATGTAACCATTATCCGTTGAGCGTATATTGTTAACATCCTTGGATGTATCGCAGTCCAAGGGTACAAAAGCAATATTGGTGGTGAAAGTCTGGTTTTGTATTGGGATCGTACGTGATTCCTGTCGAATTATTTAGCCTTAAACCCTCTACATTACATAAGTTTCAATATATATCTTGCTTTTTTAATTTAAAAACTCTTGAACTTTCATTTTTATCGAATTATTAAATATGTCAGAGTACAATCATTTACAATTGTTTTCATCGATTATGCTGAAATTTTTTAAAACGTTTTTTAAATAACATTTGCCAAAGTGTTTTTTAATGTGTTATATGGTATTTTTCAAACTAATTCCATTGTCCCTGTGTTGTATCGGTAATTAATGACCTTGATTACAAGGCGCTGAATTGGTTGTCGGTAATGCTCTTTATTATCGAATATTAATAAAGATAGCGAATAAAGATTTTAAATAATGTGTCAATTCTATCATAAACCATACAAAATAAATTATCCTTAGGCCCTATCATAGGACTTACCGGTAGACATTGTTTTAAAAAGATTTTTTTTTTTTTTTTTTTTTTTTTTTTTTTTTTACAATTGGACTAATTATATTAACTAATTATATATAACTATTATATCATATTATATATTATATCATAATTGAGAAAATCTTAGAGCTTTCGTCATATCTGCTTTTTATGCTTTGGTTGGTGTACACTGTATATTATTTTTACGCGTTTTACTATCTATTCATACACATTTTTTACAATTTTTTTTTATTTAACATAAGCGTTTCCTATATGTACAAAACTGTCTTGTATATATGATAATTATTTAGTACGTTTTATTTTAATTTTCTATCAGATTATCAACATTAATATCAGTAATACTTTGTGGAATTTGTGTGGACACATTTTGTTCGTATGTTACTTAGAGATTAAAGATTTAAAGGCGTCAATAATAAATGTACTTAGGAAAGTTTGTTGGAAATAAGTAGTAGTGCTAATCTATGATTTGCAATCCATTGAAATTTATGACAAGTGTATGCTTTTTAACATTAATATTTTTAACATAAATAAAATTTTTATCATAAAAAGCAATAATTTTATGGAATAATTTTACCAGGAAATGGTTTCCTATTCAGACTCGTCGTGATTGAATTCGTGCTTGGAGTTGTCACAGACATTAATGAAATTCGTATCATTGCTTATATCAATATCATAAAGTGAGATGATATTTATGCAGGAGGCGGCAATCGTGTTTGCATAATACTTGACATTGTACCGTTGCTGCTTATATTAAAAGTGTGGAATTAGGTTTTGCCACATTGGTTTCATGTTCATAACATCACAGTTTGGCCAAAATTCGTCGATTGTTGAGATTGTATTTCTATGTATAATATGACATTTGTATATCTAAACCGGTAAATTATAAATGGAAATTACAAAGTTGAAGTAAATTTCGGGCCGTTATTCATATAATGGTTATTTTACTATACAATAATGAGATAAATAGTTATTGATAGTTTGAAAGTAACTTAATATGGTTGAATGATGAATCGTATTACGCATGATGTGACACAAAATATGTCCATTTATACATAAAAGAGATTTTTCAAAGTTGGATGGACTTGTGTTGGTCTCTTTTAATAGAGCATTGGCAAACACTATAACTTTCCATCTACGCATTTAATTAATACATTTTGTTGAATATAAATTGTCTGTAATTTTCTTCTACATAATCTTTAGATTCAGTTGAATTCATCTTTAGATCTGTTGATATGGAATTTTGCTTGTTAAGTAATAATGTTCTCTCTCACAACAGCTAATACTGTTGATACCACTATTCCGCGTCCTAAAATTACGAACTATTTAATAATTTAAAACAATTTTCTCATTTTATATTGATTAGATTTCCAGTGAAATTTTAACTATAATTGCATTGTAAATAAGAAAAAAAGTTAATAATTAAACGTAAATTACTGACTAAATTTTAAGAATTGTTTTTGCAAAGTATACTTAATACAATTTTTTCAGTAATGTTGAATGTTTTTGTTAGGAAAATTCATAATTTCCATGTCTAAATTAATTAGAGTCAATTAAACATAGAGCAGTATAAGGTAAGTAATAAAAGCTAATTATGTAATTATAATTAAAAGTGTTTGTAATATAAATTAGAATATTAATACATTAAAGAAAATATTTGAAATAATTTTTATAAACCAAATCAATGTTTTGATCTTTACGATATTTATATTTTACATAGAAAATAATAATTAATTTTATCATAATAACAAATTGTAAAATTCATTGCACAAATCTTTAAAATAAATATGAAAATGTCAGATAGTTTTTTTGAAAAATGCTTTCTTTTTCATGTCTCCTTATACACTAAGAAATTAATTTTTTTATCAATTCACAAATTCTGAACGAACTATGTCGTTGGAATAGTTATAAATCGTATTTGCGATGGTCCATCGATGTAGAGTGATTTGTTTGTTGTTCGCTATTGACATCTTTGAAAATGTGTTCTGAATGTTTATTTTGATGTTCCAAACCAAATCAGCGAAAACTTGAACTTGATAAAAAACATAATTAAATATAAGTTGGATAATTTTATACAGTAACAAAGAAAGCGATGCTTTTGTAGTATTGGATGGAGTTTATATTAAATTGAAGAAAATTATTCTATATTACATTTGTGTGTGTAAAGTGATTTTGGGCACAATAAAAATTAATTTTCTTTTACACTTTTTGAATGTAAATTTATAATATTAAGATTCGATTAAATATTGTATTGCAAAGTTTTTGCTTGATGATTACGCATATCGGGTAACAATATCGTATGTTAAAATGATCAACGAAATTACATAATCCCTGCATTAATTTTTTTTTTTTTTTTTTTTTTTTTTAAATCTTTCAAATAAAATATAAATTTAATATAATATATTCAGTATGAGTAATATCACATATGAAATGTTGAAAAAATTCAAAATTTTTATGAATAGTATTATTTTTTTTCAAAATTAAAAATTTTATTCCAAAGAGTTGATATTGATCCAAATAGTTGATTAAAAACGTTTTTATTATTATATTTTCAAGTAGTTGTTAAAAGTTTAAGTAAAAATTAAAAATAGTTATAAATACATAAGAAAATTAAAAAACAATATTGTAAATGTATTAATCCATACTTAAAAATAAATTGATTGAACACGATAAAATTTAATAACTAATAAGTAGTTTCATATTATAGCATTGACAGACGATATATTTTTAATATAGTTCGATAATTCCATACTGTAGGTATAAATTTAAATATATTATAAATCATCGGAATGCATTAGAAGAATTTTTATGGTCAGAAATTTGCAATCCTTAGTCAAAATTTAAAAGTGTGCATCATGCCGAAATAATATAATATAATTATACGATAATTGAGTAGTATAATTTTTTATTTCAATATAAAATATTAGTTATTAAAGCTTGAAGGCAATGCACATTTTCAATTATTTTATCGGAATTGTCTAATACCAAATTATATTTGCATTATAATTGAAAAAATTGATAATAAAAATTTCTTATAACTATGTAAAGTAGTAAAACATTTAAACTAATTATAAGTAAAAAAAATTATCAATATTATTTGGCGTAATATTTTACAAAAATATGTAACCCGATTTTTTTTTTTTTTTTTTTTTTTTATCAAATATATTATTAATGTAAAAAAGAAAATGTACATTTCTTCTGTTTAATGATTGATAAATATGTAGATAAACCAAATAACAGTGTAATACGCAATGCTATAAACCTGCACAGTGTAACATTCAACATTCTCGTATTATCTGGCAGTTTTTTTTTCTGAATTTTACAGGTGCACCCGTCCAGTGAATTTACATATTTATTTTTCTTAACCAATGATCAAGCAATGAGCATGCATATACATATGGCCACTTAAATGAAGAGTTTTATTATTCAGCTGGAAAAACTTGTTGTAATACCGTTGATTTTTATCGTTGTGTTTGCAACGTGAAGTGAGCTTAAACAGTGCATTATTGTATATTATATAGTCATGAATGTGTATTGTTAAAAATCTCGTAGAACTTGGTATTCTCGTAGAATGTTAATGACGTTACAGACACAATTATTCTTTTTTGTAAGAGTAATCTTATATTCTAAAATATGTTCACGTGCTTAATAAAAGTTTTATCAGATAAATGAAAAAGAGACTAATACTAGGATATATTTAGAAAAAATCCATTTCAGTTTAATAAAGGTATTGTGCTTAATTTTATTCTTTATCGTTTTAATATATGTTGTTGTATATTCTAAGTGAGATGAATATAATATATCAGGACAAAAAATTAATTAATAAATAATAAATTTTTACAATAGAATTTTTAATTTTTAATAGATTTTTAAAAAATAAAAAAATAAAAGTTGCTCGTCAATAATTAAGCTTATAACAAATTAAGAAAATATAAAAATGAAAATCTGCTTCAAGGCTTAAATACCATAACAATACTGCAATGGTTGTTGATAGCTAGA